TGGACATATCGAACACAATGATATAAATAATATGGAACTTTCAAACGTGATTAAAAACGAAGAAATCTTTTTCTGTGAGTATGATCTTTAGAATATGCTTTACGCTAACGCTTACGCGACGTAATGTAATCTACACAACTTTTTAAGAGGAGATAGGAAATGATGTTTCTTTAAATGTGAATTGCTTTTGAAAATCTTAAGAAAGTATATGCTTACATCAACAACATTTTTAAATACCCTGTAACTTTTCTGATTTTCGTCTGTCATTTGCTTTCTTTACAGAGAAAACATAATGTTTGAAAGAAAGAAATATAAGGACTCCGTTGTACATAATAATAATAATAATAATAATAATAATAATAGGTATGCATTTAGAGTGAAAACCAAAGTATGTATACTATAGTATTGCTTATATCGTATTATATAATCCATCGGATTTCTTTTCGATATCTCGAGTTTCCACGATTAATGTGAAACCTTTTCTTTATATTTCACGGAGAAAATCCTTGAATTTTCTTTACGGGTCTGATTCAGACTGTCCATTGTGAAAACTATTAAAGCAGGTTGTTGCTTGAATGCATCGAGCGATCGTTGTTCTCATCGCCACCAGCCGCGAAAGACTAGGGCAGGGACTTGGGAAAGAACGAGCCTGGTCTCGAATAAAGTGGCCGTGGGGAGGAGGCCCGGGATTTCTAAGTCCGATATGTCACTGAGACAGTGGTTCGCAAATAGACAACGTGGAGAATGCTCACACCAAAGTTCACTGATCGGCTCGCTTACTCGGAGTTTTTCTCCGCTTTACACTTCCTGCTCACGTCCCGTGTCTACTACGTCTGGTTCATCCCCGAGCCACCACATTCTTATAGTTGGGAGCTGATTCTGATTGCGAGGCTGGAGGATGCGCTCGTGTTCTTGGAAGCTGCCCTCCTGCCCCCGCCTAATCTGCAACTACTAGCTGTCCAAATATATTACGCCAAGTATCCATAGACAAAAATGAATACATCATAAGAAATAAGGAAAACAAATAAGCAATAAGTGAATACCATCAATGTGGATTTTTTTATCTTTACAATATGGCCTTTCTTACGGGAGTACTCAAGGCTTGCCCCGCCGGCTTCAAATCCTTCTTTTTAATTGATATCACAGTTAAACAATACTTCAGTATAGTTTACTACGCCTTAAATTGCTGTTTTGCAGCGTGTGATGAAGAACGCCCGAATTATTTTCTTCCTGCACATTTCTTATTAACGAGACGTATATTTCCTCTCTTAACTGTGTATTGTTTTGGCCTTTACTACGAACAAAGCTATACCGTCACCAAAAGTCAGAAACCAAATTAAAATCATACGCTATACATGTTCACATTGAGTAAACACATTGAAGCAAACGACATGTTACACACATTGAGTTCATGTTCTCTCAGAACAAAACCATTGTATATCATATGAAGTGATATTGAACCTTATACAATGTTGTCAAGCAGATATACTATTTCCTCGACTGCTGGCGTAGGTGGCAAATTGCAAAACACGTCAATATGCCGAATACTTACACTATAGGTCTTCGCGCAATTCTTAGTTCAACCTCGTATGTACGACGGATTACAGTAATATTTAAATATGTGATTTCTTAAAGTTTTGGAATATATTTATTTGTGCAATGTAATTGAATTTTCCTCACATTCAAGAGAGATTATTGTCAAATTGCCCGCTTGCGAAAAATAAGACGTCAAAAATCGTTACACTATTGTGAACACTTTTCAGGTTTTCAACGTCAAAAGTAATTTGTTGAGACCGCAAAGTGTGAAAGTGGCTTTTAGATTGTACTATCTCAGGTAACAAAAACTTCGATTTATAGAGGAGTATACTGCACAACAATTCATGTACAAAATGGCCAATGAGTTGAGTGTTTGTAAACATTTTTTCAATAATATTTTGGACGCCTCCAATAATCACTACGAAAATCAGAATTCCAACGTTGGTTTTGCATCGGAATCGCTTACAACACCACCACAAAAAAAATCTCTGCCGTTTATTCGAAAGACGAAAAGGAGATTGTTGCCTTAATCTCATGACTTGGGAAATGGAAAACAGAGACGGTGAGTGATCCATCAAAACATATTCGAAAACTGCAGAACTCGTCAGTGCAATAAGTCGCAGAGACAACCACTCATTTTTCATAATTACTTTTTTCATGATACAAACATAAGATGTAACAAACTTTAGAATTTCGTTGGTCAGTCACAAAAGCTTTGTGTTCTTTCTCTTGTATCTGCCTGTTAGTCTGGCAATAGCAGATGGGAATGTATTGCGTGTCTGTCCTACCGACTCGATCTCACAGGTCTACCCTTGATTTCGGACTTTTGAATAAATGTAAATAGAAATAATAATAATAATTATTATAATAATAATTACAACTGTAGGTAACTGCTGCTACATGCATAAAAAGTACCAAGACTTTTTAAAAATTATAATTTACTGTTAGTTTACAAGATAAGATTTTCCCCAATGTTACAGTAATTGTATCTCGTGTCATGGAAATATAATCTCCCTCTCATCGTTTCGCCTCTCTCCCTGAAGCGTTTGACGGGGAGACGCCAGATCTGTGCAGGATCTGCGGTCGCTTCCGATGATATACGAGGTCTGTGTTATTGCCTTCCGCTTACGGAGTTAGGAGAGGTGTCACAGTAGGAGCGAATCCAGCCGATTATTTTTCGGTATTTTTGTAATTAATTTTATATTTTTGTAAAATAATAAATGTATTTGTTATTATATTGCATATAATTTAGAGATTCACCAGATGAACTCACTAAAAGCAGTAAACGTCGTTTTGAGATCAAAAATCGAGTTGTGGGATAAAAGAGCTCGTGCGTATACTCCGCTCATTCTTTCGTATTTGAACCCGGAAGATCTTAGAGCAAGGTGGAATGTTAACAGAAAACCTTAGAAGTAAAATATATCTAAAATAAGATGTGAGGAGATGAAATAATGGTTATATTTCACAAAATTAGTTCATTTTTTTAAAAATCCTGTTCCAAATCGGAATCGATATTTGAGTATTGCCTCAAACAATTTTAAGATCGTATTCGAGGAAGACGGAAATATGTGAAAAATATAGTTATGTACTACTATTACAGTCCGTTTACCTAGTCAGTAATGGTAGTATAGCATCTCTAATTTGGTATCTGTGGAAAAATTGACAGATGCAAAGAGACGAAAGCCGAAACCGACTGTCTGGCTCGCGTATCCCGCAAGTCCGCCTGCTCGCGGGCTGGCCGCACGCGCCTGGCTGGTCGTGCCCCGCGGACAGAGGCCCACAACAATCTGGTGGGTGACGCACGGCGAAGAAGGGGAAGGGGGGCGAGGTGTTTTCGTAAATTTCTCTTTACGACGCTCCTATTCGTCTGATTTGCATGATTGTCACGGCGTTGGATTCAGGAAGCATGTCGCCATCGCGCTATAGCCCACATTTTTTAATTTTTTTCTCGGAAGTTTGAGAACTAATTTCAAATTCGAGATTTTGCTAGATTTTTGGAAAAGGGCTTCGTAGCGTAAATTCTATTTTAAAAGGCGTCAAATGCGTTACAGATCGAAAATCGGACCATTGGTTCAGACGTTATCGTAAAGTAAATTTTACTTATTTTGGTGCTGCCACGTGGTGGCCACAAATTGTACTAGTGTCGGGACATTTAGCCTTAACAAGCGGTGCTACGGCGACTTCCACGTATTGGAGTGTGCCCGATGCAACCGGAAGCAGTGATGACGAAGTAAGATCTCTCTGTAGGTGCCAAGCGAGAGATAGTGGGCAGCTGTGACATTTCGCGCAATTATAGTGTTCCGAAAAACAAAAAGAAAGAAAGAAAAAAAAAATCGGGAATGGATCGCTGACATGCGTCTGGCGACGGCGAGGTTAATAAGTACTTAAGAAGAGTAAGAATATATATATATATATATATAAGAACCAGAAGAAGAAAAAGAAAAGAGAAAGAAACATAATTAAAAGAAAAATTAGAAGAGATATGAGACATATTTTGTGAAATCCTGTCGACTTTCTTCAGTCCTGAACTGTAATGTTTGTATGTTAGCGAATGTTTAATTTGTAAATCGATATTTATTTAAATTATATCTGTTCACATCTACATCGTAGAATGAAAAATATAATACTCTAATCCTTCGTCATTTTGCAGCTCTGAATTCAAAGGTTTTAATAACAAATTATTACTATTTTTAATTTAAAATCATAATTATCTTTTAATATTAAATTTAATACTTTAATTTTCTTAAAATAATTTTATGATAAATGATTTGCGTTCTTTGCGCCAAATATATATATATATATATATATATATATATAATATATATATATATATATATATAAACACACACTCCCACTCAAAAAAAATTCTCTGGATCCATCTGTGTTAAAAGTTACAAAATATTAACAATATCAGAAAGGCATTTTGCCAAACTTCCGGGCTCTAGTAATATTATTTGCAAATGTAATATATTTATTTATATATTGTAATAATTCTGCTCTGCAAATGGTTTTTCATTACCCTTTTTTAATATTCCAGATTTGGTTTAAATTAGTTATGATATAACGTGCAATGAAAGTAGATACAATTCATGGATGTGTGCACTATATAGTACTACTAGTAATTATTTACTAAGCATCTCAGCGGACTGTTAAAACGCCAAGTATCCAACACTGGTATAACATTCCCGGGCTACAGGTGCCACTTTCGTCACGAAGTTCATCAGTTACTGACCTAGAATAACATTTAAATTATGGTGAAGCTATTCTAAAATTAAGTTAAATTGCAGAATGATTATATTTCAGTCAATTATTTATTTGCTCACAAAGTTGTATTGATCAACATTCTATGGGTGAATTGTTTTCATGATTGAGACCAAATGCATGTCTATTGAATGCTTTGTAGACAAATATTCGAGAGTCCATTCAGCCAGGTGCAGGAGCCAGGACCACCTGACACTTGAAGTTACAACCATGGTGGTTACAACTCCACCTCAGCTGATTTTACGAGTCTGCGCAATCGTCGTCAGAGCGCGTTGTGGTCTCACTGGGAAGGCTATAGCGGATGGGAACAAGAGAAATGGACCGTGAGACCAAACAGTAAACCACTCCAAGTGGGGTCGTGGAGTCCTGGTGGAGTCTACTGCTGAAGATTGACTGGAGAGCGTTGGTACAAGCAGCTAGTAGTATTGTAGCAATCATGAGCCAGGTTATGTGTTTGCAACAATGGGTTCTAGAATAAGGTACGTTGAAAATGTGCGCTTACCTGCGTCATGACCCCATAAATTACATTGTATATGACCCGATTAAAATATTTTTGCTTTGCAGAGAAAATGTCAAGCAGATATTTCATTGTTTTTGCGAGGTATCCTGTCCTCGACCGGGGGAAGATCATGCAAGAATAATTGATAAATTCCCTGATGACTATCAAGAGGAAGAAGTATTGAAATCAATTTCTAAATTCACATATCCATGTGAATTTGAACAGTGAGAACAATTTTGAATGACATGCACGTGTCAAAATTTGTCTACAAAATGTAAATTAAGGTGACACGATTTTTTCCAGCACTGCCATTCAGCATTATTCATTTGTATTTACTAATGAGGATTCTAAATGGACTTTTGGGTTTTGCCGTCATGATCCTAAGACAGATGCAGCTTTTGTTTTTCTAAGTTCTCTTCCATGGCATGACACATTTTACAAGTATGTTGCAGTACAATATGCCTTTTGAAATACTCGAATGTTTGTTATTGTGCCTGTTGAAGCCAATTGTGATTTTTAAATAGATTACTCAACCAGATCTCAGAGGTGTCACAGTCATATAATCCAGTAGAACAGAGAAAGTATTTTCTTGAAGCCCTTTACATATGTGACATCCCAACCAATGGTACTTTAGTCATTCCTTGGAATGGTCAACAGGTGTGTTCGAACTAGTACCTCTTTATAACATTTATGGGGTGTGCAGTTATTGACTTAATTATAACATTATTTACCTTATTCATTTGCAGACATTTGTTAGTCGCTGTCCGAATGTAAGTGAATTGCCCAGTATTCCTGAAAATGTAAGTTGTGTATCAAAGCGATGAAATGTTATTATGTTATTGTACGGATTATTATTAAATAGTTCAAATGAAGTTTGATTCCTTTGTCTTGTAAATTTTATTTACAAAATTTAATTATCTACATGTAACAGTTTTACAAGATTCTGCGTATAATTTCATTCATTTACATTTGATATAAAGTGCATACAGAAAATTAATTTGCTTGCAGAGAAATCTGACTGAATATTATAGTGCTGCCGATGCACACAATATGGCAGCAATATTTGCTTCGTTACTGCATGAAAGGAGAATAGTCTTTGTCTCTCGACGATTGCCTCGTCTGTCAGCTTGTGTACAGGCAGCTGCATCATTACTCTATCCAATGCATTGGCAGCATGTTTTCATCCCCGTGTTGCCCCATCCTCTTGTGGACTATCTTCTAGCTCCAATGCCTTTTCTAATTGGTGCTCCTGTTCCTGTCTTCCAAGTAAGTGGTTTTGCTTTTACTTTAAATGAGAATGAATAGAAAAGTGTAGTTGTCAAAGTTTTGTCATTTCTTTATATGATTGTTTTTAGAGTATAAATAGAAGTGATTTGGCTGAAGTAGTAGTTTTTGATGCTGATACAAATACACTACAGTCTCCATTTGATGACCTTCAAAATTTGCCAGCTGATGTGGTAAGTTTTTTCTCTCTTATGATCGAAAATAATGATTATAAATTCATGCGTTATCCAAATATCTTGAAATAGAGATTAAAAGAGAATGCAGGATGCATATTATATTGTTTTGTTTCTTTTAAATTTTGTATATTTATTATTTCATTGAAAAAGTTCTTATTACTTTTGTCTTAACTTTAATGATACTTCATGAGATGTTATTGGATTGGTATTTAGGTGTCTAGTCTGCGTCGAGAGCTGCGTTCACAAGCCATGCTGGGTGATGGCATGGCTCGGGCCTTCATTAGGGCATTGGTAATGCTTATTGGAGGATATAGAGATGCTTTGCGATTTCATCCTGGGCAGCGTATTACTTTCCACTCAGATGCATTTGTAGAATCAAGGCCGTCACCAGTTCAACCCTTTTTGCGTAAAGTACTTCAGTTACAATTATTTCAGCAGGTAAAAGTCGCTTAGTTAATCATATGTGTTTTATTTAAGTTTTATTGGTATTTCATTTGTGTGACAAGGAAATTGCTCAATCTACAAATTGTATTAATTCATGGAAAAATTAATGTGTTTTTGGCATTATTTTCTTGAAAATCATTTACAAGTATTGTAGTGTTTTAAGTATACTTTTGTGTGTTTTTTATTTCTCTTGTATTATTTTTATCTTCTCTCTTGTCTATATTTTATAAGATGAATATTTAGCGTGATAATGTTTTTTAAAATTAAATATTTCATGTTTCAGTTTATTGAAGAAAGGCTTGAAATGCTCAATGGTGGTCTTGGTTTCTCTGATGAATTTGAAAAAGAAATTTGCCTCTACTCGGGTCGAAGTAGTTCCCGCCTTCGCCAACAGTACAAAGAATGGAAACGCACAGTGCGACGTGAGGGTACAGCCTTCTTCAAGACAATGCGCAACAAGGTAGTGCGTTGGATCCATGCTTGCAAATCTGTGGAAGTAGTATGATGTGAAATAGTCTACCTCTGTATGACATGAGTTTTGAATCAAGTTCCTAATTATGGTATGAATGGACAAGAATTCAGTGTGGGTATGTGAGGAATCAGTGTATTATATGAATAGTTGTATAGGGCTGTACTATTAGATGCTTTTGTAATGCTTTTCTCTGTGAAACGTTAATAATCTTGTGGGCTTTTGTTCATAGACAATTCCTTTGTGATGGAAAACTTGGATTTCTGTTTCTTCTGTACATCTTTTCTTTGTATCTGTTTGTCTTTCAGTAGTGAAAGTAGAAAACTTCTGTAATATTAGGAAATGGATAGTTGCTGAGAAATAAAAATACAGGCTACAATTCTTTTGTTCAAATTTATAAACTTTATGTGATGTATTAATTGTACGTGATTCAGTTTTGTTTTTGTGTATGCTATGTGGTAATACATTTGGAATTTTTTGAGTGTACAATTTTATGTGAAATAAAATAAAGAATAATTTTGTTAGGCTGTTGATTTATATAATGCACTATCCATGTAACTTGCAATTAGCCCTTCTTTTTAAATTTATTGTATGATATAAAATGGTAACTTATATTTCCTGACCCATAAAGTATTGCCCCATGCCATGCTCCATAAAGTCTGTTAAACAAGATTATTTTGTGTACTTGCAGGCAAATCCTGCTATGAAGTCAGCTGTCAAAACTGTAAGTGTGGCACTTGTATTGTGCATGTGTTCTGTGATGCCTTGTAGTTTTTATGAGAAAGGAGTAAATAATGTTGAATATTTCACTATTACCATCATCCTTTCCTAATCTCTTTAGCAAAAATGCAACAGCTTTTAAGTGCTTTAAAACACAGGTGGTGAGTGCATGGTAAAAAATTTTGCGTGCTTGTAAACAAAAGCTCATAACCGAATTAAGTTGTTTGGTACATCGTTTGGTGATATTAATGGATTCTGGACACAATATGCCACTCTTTGGCATGTAATAAAATCTTGTAAGGAATTATCATACTTGAGCTGCAGTGAATAAAATGTATTAATAGTGCCTTCCTTTCCTGAAATATTTAATTTCCTCCCCTGACCTGTAATGACTTTATCAAGTATAGCTGTAATGACTTTATCAAGTATAGCTGTAATTAGGAATGTGGATGCACATTGCACTGATGCTTCATCATTAACTCTCAGCATTGGCTTTGCATGTTCATTACCTTTATCAATGAGCACTGCATGTATTGCATTTTGCACACATCAGGTTCGTGAACATGGAAGAGAAGTGCGTGCAGCGTGTAAAGACATCCGATCTCGCTTGCGAGATTCACAGCTTGAGAAGAAAAGTACAGCAGATACAAATCCTCCCCGGCCCCGTCCTCGCCTCAAAGCCACTGCCTCCTACAAAAGAAGGTGAGTATGTATTTTTACTTCAGTCTGCTTGAGAAGTTATATTTAAATTAACAATTGCAGAGAATTTTAAGGTAATATCATTGCTACTTATTCAGGTAATGTCTAGATATTGTCTGCAATATTTCAGATGTAGGCTCAGAGCTTTGAAGTGTCTTAAGCAGCTTAAATTTTGCGTTATCACCATACACTTTTTTTTGCTGATAAGTATTTGCTGTTGCAAATGATCCTAAAATATTGTGTGTGGTGTGGGTGAATTCTAGTATTAGATGGAATAATCAATCGTGAGCTATTAAATAATTTATGATATTCAGCATGCATTTTCTTTGTCTTTTTATATCTTTGATGACTGAAAAACAATTACAGAAATTTGAAGTTTTATTATTGCTTTCATAGTAAACATGAAACGTTTATGAACAATATATAATCAAATTCATCACCTTTTTTAAAATGTATTATAAAATGTCAACAAGAGCACAATTCAGTTTATTGGTCTCAGTCATCTTCACTGTTTTATCATTGAAACTGACATTGTTTTGTAGAATCTGAACTGAGTGACTAGTGCTTGACTGATGTCTCACTTTAGGGGTGTACAAAACTCTTTTTGAATTTTCATATTCATGTAATTTTCATGACAGAACGCAACTTTGAAATCTTATACATGCAGTATTTATTTGAAATGTTACACTAGTTGACCTGTATTTCCTTTCTTGAATATTGAATACATTTATCAATTCATTGATGATATTAGAGGTACAGACATTTAGTATAAACCAGTAGATATTTAGCGTTCTTTTCACTTTAGGTATTTGTTTCAAATTTCTGGATTTTATTTTCTCACTTCTTTTCATAATGAAATGTAACATGTATTATTATCTTTCTGTTTTCTTAATCCATCCAAACCTTAATTTATTGCTTATAAGCAAATGAAAATGTAGCATTAAAATGCAAGTTGGCCCTAATGCAAAAGAAGCAGAACAAGAGGTTTCAGACGGTGTGATTCCTGTAATGTAATAGGAAATTATTATTGCACATCCATCGTCAGTTTTTTGCAATTTATTCAGAATACAAAGGTATTTTTGTTCTCCAGCATGCAAATACTTAATGTAATCTGTGGGTAAGCAGTGTACTTCCATCTTTTTGTGAAACTAAGGTAAATGTTCTTCATCTATTATATAACCTGAAATAAGGTTCTGTTTTAAATCCTCTGAAATGAAGAAGCAAGGGGTTAATGAGATATCTAATACATGCCGTGACTTTTTATTGTCTTGTAATTATTTACTTTAAAGCCTTTTTCTTAGTTTCGTATCATCTTTGGGAGACGAGAAATGTTCTCTGTATGTATGTGTGTGTGTGTGTGTTAAAACACGTGACATTTGTTTTATGTAACTGCACTGTGGGGTGTTGTAGGCCTCTGCATGTCACAAAAGCAGAGAGCCGCACCAGGAGTGAAAGTGCACCAGCAGCACCAGGAGCACCCCCAATACCACCTGCACGAAGTTACCGACACATTCCTGCACTTGACCACCAGGTACTGTTGTGTAATGTACAAATAATTCAATTTTTGGATGTGGATACGTGTAAAATTCAACCCCTAGTTGTGGGGAGTGTGTCTTTTGGACAGCTAGTATTCCGAGTAAAGTACTGCAATATCCAATTTTTACGTTCTCCCACTTACTAACTTAAGAAGAGAAAGTATTGTAATTGTGCGCCGGAATACGACGAATTTTCGACAAAAAAACTTATTGCCGGGCCCTGGTAAGGAAAAAGTGGATAAATCTTGTTGCTAAATATAGAACAAAATCCTCTAACACATGATGAAACGAAAATCCATGTTTTGTGGATCCTTGATACCGAAAAATCGATTGAGGGCAAAAGTGTCCGTCTGTGTACAACGGTAGCGCATAAACCGTTCAGCCGATTTTCTCCAAAATTAATATTGCCCGATCGTTCTAGCTGACGTCGCGAACCCAGGAATTTGAAGCCAATATTTTTTTACCGGGTTACTTTACATGAAGTCCCTGGGATAATTTGAAAATGTTAAAAAAATATGGTTCAAATTTTTTTGATTACATTTTGTTGAGTTGAGCAAAGGACGTTTAAGAGAATGGTGCAGGCCTCATTTTTCGTTGACATCTCCGATTTTTCGAAAATTAAAAAGAAAAAAATCCCTTAAAATTCAAGATATTTTTGTTTTAGACATAGTCTGTTGTACAAAATTAGCTCTTCAAAAAAGTTCCTGTACAATTTTTTGAAAAACGAATAGTTTTTACGTATTTTGCGATTGAAATTTACAACAAAAAAATACTCAAATCCCGCTCAAATTTTTTCTTTAAAATTTATCCACGAAACGGTAAAAAATATAGCACGTCTCATTTTTAAATATTGCTAGTTTTTTTCGAAAATTGCAAAAACGTTACAAAATTGAAGATGGAGATATTTGCTTCTGGTAAAGTGTATTGTACAAAATTAGCGCTTTAAGGTAATGTACATTTTTTTGAAAAAATCTATAAGTATTATTTTTTGTTGAAATTAATGAAATATATACAAGTTTCACACTAACTACGGGCCACAAAAAAATTTAATAAATGTTATGAAAAATAATTAATTTAATTGTAATTATAATTTCCTACTAAAACTGCCAATTGTAATACTAAATTTCGTCTTTTTTTTTCTCCATGTGTATTCTCAATGCATTGATGTATTTCATTTTAACCTATCCGCAAAGCTTAGTAGACATTCGCAACAATGCGCATCGATTGACAAGCACTTGAGTAGCACTTGTTTTGTTTACATCAACTCTCTTACGAGAAGCTATGGATGCTCTCTTTGTTGTAACAGAATAGTGTTTATCGTATCGGAAGTGTGGATGATAGAAGTCGGTGATGAAATGAAACGCTATCGGAACTGTTATCTTATGACGAAAGGCATCTCACAAATGTTCGTAATTATTTTGATGTCAATTGCATGTATTCTAATTACTGTATTGATATTATTAGCCAAGCGAATGCACTTAGTTTTGATAACGCTACGTTGGCAACAGTGCGTTGCTCACTTCTTGGTCAAATGGGACATTTCGACATAATGACCAAGGTGTTAGTACCGCAGAAAATGCAACATATCAATATTATGTAGCCGTTTCCAATAAGAAAGTAGGTGCTGTTGAAGCACCACTAGCAGCACCACTAGCATAATAAACTATTTTCTCACTTAACTAAAAAATTAAGATTTTTGAAATTGACACTTTTCATGTGCACTAACGATATGTAATAAAAATCAATAAGAAAATAAACTGTACACATCACACTTTAAAAATGAAAAATTAAATATTTTAATTAAATGAAATGATATATCTAACACATCTTTTGCGAATACTTGCCGCAAAGATACAAAAGAAAATCCACAATTATTAGTAGAGCTTTTTATTTTTCCTTATACATATGTATATACGGAGTAATATACGTAGTATAGGGCAAGTTATGTAATGCCACGGAAAATCGATTTCGAGATTTCAACGGAAATACACGTTTTGGGGTTCCCTGACACCAAAAAAGTGGTTCTTTTCAAAACGCACGTCTCCGACTATGAACACTACCAGCGCCTAAACCATAGGATATTTTCCAAATTGAAGAACCCCCTGTCTTTCTGGCTCGAGTCGGAACTTTGAGATTTTGAAAAACATTCTTTAAAATTTGGGGGTAGTTTACATGAAGTCCTCCGGCTTTCTCAATTTTTTTTTTTGATTTCTTTTAAGAATAGAGTAACACACACTTATGAAAGTTCTCGCTGACACTGAATTTCCGAACATTTCAAAACAATGAATTTTTTTCGGTATCTTCTTACGACTACGAAATTAAAGATAGAGATTTTCCCTTCAATAAAATTTGTTATCTATAATTAATTATTTTATTATGTACCTTTTTTTGAAAATTTTAGTGGTTTCCGCCGAATATTGCATGACATATCGCACATCTAATAGAAAAGTGGTTTTAAAAAAGTTTCGTAGTTCTATTACTCGTTATAGATTGTACCAAATATTCACCTTCTAGCGGCCAGTAATTGAACTAATTCGAAATCAACTTCATAATTGAAGCAGTTCCTCTTGGTAACCTCTTATTAGTTTTAGCTGAAAAATTACGATTTTGCACTTGTGTCACTTTTCTATGGGAGGTGCAATATGTATAATTTTAAAAAATTACAAAAACAAGACTTTTGTAAAAAACGGCTCACACTTTCCTTTAAACTTTTGGTAGGAATAGTGCTAAATATACTCAATGAGATGTCATAAATATCAGTGTGATCCATTCTTTTGTTTAAAAAAAACAACAAAAATGTAATTTTGTTGACTTGCCTCACACGTTAATATTTATATTAGCGCTGATTTCTTCACATTACTTTATTGATTAGTATATGTGTTTTATATGTCTTAAAACCTCTCGAAAACTACCATTTTCTGTGAAAACTAGCTCAAAAGTCCGTATTTTCAGAAACGTTCAAACGTCATTTTCTCAAAAATTGCTCCAAATTCTTTCTTCAAACTTTTTGAAGGGGTAGTGCTAATTGTATTATTTAATATGACAAAGTTCATTTTGGGGTATTTTTTCAAAAATTATACAAATGTAATTTTTTTTGAAAGATTTCACACGCCGTTGATATTCATATTTGCTACAATTTGTAAACACAATTGTAATTGTGAGTTTAAGTGCTGCAAATGACTTCTAATGAAAAATTTCAACGAACATATGACCTACATGCACCATTCTCTTAAGCCTCTTTTACAATATCCGAGGAGAAAGTTTGGCCAAAAGATTTGGTGCCATTTTTGAGAAAATGTTGAAAACGTGTTTGAGGCATCATGTGAAGTACCCCCAAAAATCAAATTATCCATTTGAAATTTTCAAAGCCTCGAGTTTATTCAGATCGATCTGGTAATATCGATTTCGAAGAAAAACGGCTTAGGCGATAGCGTTGACCACAGGCAGACATTTTACCGTCAATCAATTTTTCGGTATCAAATAAAGTAATAAAATCGGTCTTAAATAAAGTAGAGATAGTTGAACTTCCAAAATTTTGAAAGATAAAAACTTTGAAAGGTACAAACGCACCACAATACTATTCACCCTTCCTTCTGTGATTTGCCCTTAAATTTAAATTCTAAATTAATAAAAAAATACGTTTACCGAACTTACCCGAATGTAACTCTGAAGCGACCCCCTAATTTTGATAAGGCCTGTTAATTTTAAAAATGTTTACTATGTAGTAAAAAATTCAAATTGTCGAAACTACTAGAAATTGCCGTGTCCACGAGATTGTTGAATTTTGGTATTGCTCTATTACTATGTTCTTCCTCCTTAAAATCATCCTGGGTGGTCCCTGTCACCTCTGTATTCACACGTCTCATTGGCTCTTTTTCCATACTGCGTCGTTATACTTTTTTATGCCCCCTGAAAATTTTGGATTGATTGATTAGTGATTCCGGGCCTGTCAATAGCGGTTGTCAATTAAGATTAATCCCGTAAGTGTAGTGTGTGATTTTATCGCGGGAGGGGCGCTAATCTTCCTGGCCTTCCTCGCTAGTTGGCGAGACCCGGGGCCGGCTTCGTTCGATTTGCGAGGATTTTCCCCAACCAGGTATTTCCCATTAGAGTGGTAATCGCCCCAGCCGGGACAAGCCTTAAGCTCCTCTCGACTGCTCCCCCTACAAGAATGGAACTGTAGTCCTTTGGGTGTATATGTGTGTAAATAATGGACAAGGAAGAAGACTAAATGATCGCGCGCGGTCATTGGCCCGTTTGTTAGTGTACTGGCCGGCATTCGCTAGTGTTGATAGGAGACTCCACAGAAAATTCCCCGTCAGAGCAGCCGAACGCTAGAATTGTTCAGTATGAAGCTAGTCGAAACTCCTGCCACCATTGGGACTCGAACTCTAGGACCTCTCGGTAAGAAGCTCTGTAGTGACATCGGTTGATGCCCGTAGCCATCTTTGCCTGTGAAACTTTTGGATTTTCATTGTGCGTTCGTCTTCCATCTGACGCCACTTAAGATCTGCTACCCCCTTTATATCACAATATTTTCTTCCTGCTGCACTCAACTCTGATTCATAAACGGAATATAGTTGACATTTGCCACGTAATGTTCTCGAGATCGCGTTGTGAACTGCGCACTTGTATGTCTCCGTTACTCCCTTACGCAAGTAATGCCTGCGCGCGCGAGAGAGGGAGAGCGACATGCTTCAAAGTTCGAGAAAATTTTTCTAAGAGTATATTTTTTATTATGGCTCTGGAGTTGTATGTAGAAGGCACGTTTCTATCAATGTGATTTTTTTCATTTCCTCTTTCAAAACGGTTTCGCACTCGCCGAGCGTCGAACCGAATCAAGGCAGCATGTGGCAAAATCTTGGAAACGATTTATATTCATTTTCACGTTGCGTTTCACTTACGATATCATTCGTCTAAGATTTTCTTTTTACCGGCCCATTCAGAACTATTGGTCTGAAACGCTCATCAAATTAGCGGGGGATACCAACAATAC